CCATGGTATATTCAATACTCTTCTTCAACACCACAGCTCAAAGGCATCAATTCTCCTTCTATCATCCCTAGACATTGTCCACCTCTCTGATGTATAGCAAGTGATTGAAAAGACCATGGCCTGTATGAGACTCACCTTAGTCTCCAGACTGACATCCTTGCACTTCAGTACTTTAGAGAAGTCTTTAGCCTCAGACTTTCCCATTGCATTATGTCTTTTAATTTCCTGGCTGCTGGTGCCAAGAGTGTTGACTGTGGAGCCAAGCAAACCAAAACTGTGAACAATCTCAATCCCTTCACCATCCATCATGATGTTGCCAATTGGCCCAGTGGTGAGAATCTTTGTTTTCCTGATATTGAGCCTCAATCCATACTGAAGACCGCAGTCCCTGACCTTCCACAGCAAATGCTTCAGGTCCTCCTCAGTTTCAGCAAGCAGGGTTGTGTCATCTGAATAACGTAGATTGTTGATGATTCTTCCACTAATCCTTATGCCATATCACTCCTCATAGAGCCTAACCTCCTGGATAATCTGTTCTGCATAAAGATTAAAAAGGTATGTAGACAGGACACATCCCTGGTTTATACCTTCCCAATTTTGAACCATGTAGTGTTCCCTTGCTCTCTTCTGGCAACTGCCTTTTGGTCCAAGTATAGGTTTTGCATTAGCATGATCAAGTGTTCTGTGACGTGAACATTATTATCATCATCACTATCTTGAGACTGAGAAAATTGAGGCTCAGAGAAGTTAAGGTATTAGCTCAAATTATGCATGCTAAGAAGTGAGAAACTGCAATTAAGATCCATGTAGCTTGTTTGTTGGAGTCAGCACACTTAGCCACTGTCTACATTGCTTCTAAAAACAGGAAGGGAGTGAGTGGGCAAGGGTGTAGGAGAGAGAGGAAGCAGAGATGGTGAAACGAGCAAGGAGGTCTGAGAAGAGACCCACCTGAAGTCACAGGATGGTGAAGAGATTGAGACTGTTCACAGCTTTAGTCTGCTTGGCTCCACAGTCAACACTCTTGGCACCAGCAGCCAGGAAATTAAAAGATGTATTGCGATGGGAAAATCTTCTGTTAGGGATGTCTCCAAAGTACTGAAGAGCAGTGGTGTCTCTCTGGAGACCAAGGTGAGTCTGATACAGGCCATGGTCTTTGCAATCACTTGCTTTGTGTCAGAGAGTTGGACAATGACTAGGGAGAATAGAAAGAAGGAAAATTGATGCCTTTGAGCTGTGGTGCTGGAGAAGAGTATTGAGAGTACCATGGACTGCTAAGAAAACAAACAGGTTCACCCTGGGGAGGGTTAAATCAGGCTGCTCCTTGGAGGCAAGGATTCTGAGGCTT